TTTTTTTTTCAAATGCAACAGTCACTTATTTACAGAGCGCCTGATCGTGTAGCAGCTGAGGAAGAATGTGACCAAAACAGAGCTAAAGGAGAGTAAACAGAAGGCTGGAAATGTGACTCAAGAGACTGATAATGATAGTTTCTAACTCTAAATGAACACAACACCTCAAATTAATTAGTTAATTATTGGTTTGTTTTAGTCGAGATAGAAGGAAAATACAAATCTGCTTGATTTTCCTGAACTGTAGAGCTTTGGTGAAGCACTGGGTGTTGTTTTCCGTGACAATAGTATTGGAAGCAGTAAGATGAGGTTGCAGCTTTAAATCCAGTCACTGCCCTCATGGTGACAGGAGTAGGTGCAAATTGATACAGCTGCTCCTGCGATTCAAGAGTGCAGGTTACACAGCAGGGAAACTCCATCCAGCTGAGAAGGTGATCAGTGCAAGTGAGACACAGACAGGCCTGGATTGTTTAGGGACAGGAAGCTACCCTAGGCTGCTGTGACAGGCTGCCACCTGCAGCTCTCAGGCCAGTGTCAACTAAGAGAGAAACCGAACAGAAGAAGACATTGTCCTTTGACACATGGCCTCTGGCACTCTCCCATTGTCTGTGCCAACGTCCTTTTTAAAACTCAACCAAGCACAATGAGCCGTTTGTCTTTGTCTGGATCAATCCTATTCTCTGCCCTCGCTGGTGCAGTAACTGCTGTGTGCTGATTTTTATTTACAGTGACAGGCTACACCCAAGAGGGGTGTACAATTTCCGATGTGCAATATAACCAGATTTTTGTGGTGTTTACTAAAAATATTCAAATTCTTTGAGCTATAAAACATTCGTAGACAGAGAAGATGGTACGAATGCTCTGAGGCTAAAACTGCACGGCGTGAACTTCATTAATCCGAAGGATTTCACTTCAGTCTTACATAAACACTCTCACAGCTCTCTTATAGCTAAGGGGCACTGGTCAAGTTGTGGTGCTATTATGTAACAAGGCTGTCACAGTGTGATACTGTGTGTAGTTCACTCTCTGCTTGTGTGAGTCAGTCTGCTGCTGCATAAACTCGTGCTGCACCATGAGAAACTTTTAAGATAAAGCGGCCCATTTTCCATGTTTTAAGCCTACTGCAAAATCTGTCATATGATTAATATCTGCAAAAAGAAGCTGAAACTGAGTTAAAGCATTACATGCTAAGATTTCATGGTGACTGCATACTGTAGGGACAACAACAGTGATATGTACCACATCCCCATCTTAGAAGATCTTCCCACAGAGCTTGTTTTGCTTACTAGAACAGCAGCAGACTACTGAGTGTGCACAGCCTGGCATATTTTAGGAAACTTAGAAATCACTCTTGTTTTAATTTGCAGGAGGTCAGTTAAAAATTAAACAAATCAAACAATGGTTAGGAAACCATTGTTCCCATATTTTCAGAGTTTAACGTCAAAGGTCAAACATTTCCTAATAAACTGAAGTTTAATGATGATGGACAGCAGCCGGAAATCTTTGCAAGCTATTAAAAAAACCGGCATATTAATGACTTGTTGTAAAGCTGTAAAAGTGCTGGTAAATCATTAATTAACTTTCAATTGAGCCTTATGCATCTTAGAAGGTGGAAAGACTAATTGTGTTTTATTACTATCCTTTCAACGACCATTGCCATAAACTGTGCCATTGTCACTGTTTTAACTGTCAACCAAAAATGACACATCCCCCTACAGGATCCCGCCCAGCTGAGGTCTGATTGGTCGTTTTCCGACGCCGTTGCTCTTCATTGGCTCATGCCGTGCCACTCAGCATCTCACCACTGCTGTGACTCTGTGCTGCTCAAAAAGAAATCATATTTTTTGTAGAGCGGATCAGCGGGTAGCAGCTCGTCTTTGGCCGGCGGGGTTGCTTATTTGCGGGGGTGTTTTTAGTTTGTCTTGGCTGCCAGGGGGTGCTTATGGATCTTTATTGCGTAAAGAAGAGGAAGTGAGTCAGTATTTGCTGCAGAATGGTATTACGAAAAAGACTAAAATGGTGCCTTTGCAGCAGGGGTATTAATTTTGCCGGTGCCTTGTAGCCGTAGTGCAAGTTAGCTTATGAACAGCAGAACGTTAGCCGACTAGCTAATGCTAGGCCTTTCGTTTCCTTTGGCTTGTCAGGACAGTTTATTGTTTTATCCCTCCCTCTTTAAAGCTGAGCTTTTGCTCTTTACTTTGCTGGCTGTGGTCCATTTTTCGTTGCTTCCCGCGGTTAAAAAAGACACCGGAATGAAGCGTGTGAACAGCTTTCAGAGGTAAGCGGAAAATCTGGAAAACGAAAAATGCTGTTTTGGTTGTGCCTGGATGAGATTGGAGAAAAAAACAGGGAGATTTCAACGCTACATACTTTTATAAAGCACTCAGTGTTTAGGTTCCTCTTCCTACTGGCCGTTAGCAAAGCGCTGTTTTAGACAAACGAAAGGAACTTTCACTTTAAATATCGAAACGTTTAAATTTTAACAAACTGGCGCTAAACTGATTTAAAATTAATAATTCAGTCTACGAGTGCTAATAAATTATTTTTCGAACATTGATTTTAAAAAAGTGCTTAATTTTCTGGCCTCGACTTACATCTTACACTTAATCTTAATTAAATATCTTAATCTTTTGGTTCGGAGACAGTAAAATAAGCTAATGGCAGATGTTGTTGTCAATTCTAGACTATTTAATATGATCACACTGAGCCACTGTTTATAATGTTTTGGTTTATTTTTTAAATAAAGTTTAAAACAAAATCATAATTTACTTGAAACTGTGTACAGACTTTTTTCAGTGCAGGAGAATAAGTGTGATTTAAGCAGTATTTGCATTTTTCAGTGTTAAGAAAAATATATTTCAAAGCATAAAATGTGAGAATATTGTTGTTCATCTGTCTGCTGGTATTTCTTTTTTTGTACTTGAAGGTAGGATAGCTCTAATGATAAGAATAAAGGCCAGGCACATGTATAAGCACATATACAACATGTAACCTATGTTAATTGTTTTGCACGGGTTGTGTAATATGTGATGTTAGAATGAATAAATAAATGTACATAAATATTCAAAAAATCAGTGTACGCATATTGTCTAGATAAAGTTCTTCTTTTGGATGCTTTTGTTTTTAGGGACATCCACAGCTCAAACTTTGTCTCCACCTGAGCTGTCCCTCTGATGTAATTAAATTCCTCTCTTAAAGCGCAGATACTGAAGGGTGGGTTTGTTGGTGAGGTGCCGTGGGGACTTTTAATGTTTTGTTCTGTTTGTTTTTGTGTGCGTTTCAGGTTCATGAACAGACGGGCCTCTGCAAACTGCCGCTACCAGCCTACCTGCTATGAGCATGCTGCAAACTTTTACACCCATGCAGTGAGTGGCTCCAAACTGTTTAGGCCTCCGTGTAATTTCACAGTTGCTCTTTAACTGTCTTAATAATTTATTTATTCTGTGATTTCTCCCTCATCCTTGCAGCTCCTCATCGTGCCGGCCTTCGTGGGGATGACGCTGCTGCACTGTCTGTCGGACAACCGCTGGGAGAGGATCACGGCCTGGGTGTACGGCATGGGCCTGTGTGCCCTCTTCCTCGTCTCCACCGTGTTTCATATCATCACCTGGAAGAAGAGTCACATGAGGTGAGGACTGAAGCATTAATAAGCACTCAGGCAGAAGATTCATGCCAGAAATACTCGTGGGTGTGTTTTTGTGTTAGTTTTGTTCCAGTGTTTCCAAAGTGGAGCGTTTAGTCTGCACAGGCTCTTTTATTTTTGGAAATTGCCCACATTCTCTGTGCCATTTCTCTGACTTCCTGTCCTCATCATCTGCTTCGTGCATCCATTTAAAAATAAATAAATAAATAAATCTGGTGCTATTTTAAGTGATGCAAAGCAGACGGACCCTTATGGCCCACTTCTAATCTGTGCTTGAGGTCATCTCATGGAATTTCAAGTATTACCTTGAATGACTGTTCTAATAAAAGCTTTCATACATACGATCAGTCTCCGGATATCGTCAGCTTTTTGGAAAAGACACATTTGGACAGTCCTTTGTTTTCTTGTTATTAAATAATTAAAATATGATGATGATATTTGGTGTGAGCTAAATGAATAAAATCATCATTCTTTGTTGCTTTGCTTTCACAAATACTTTGTTGCTTTTAGGTAGATATACGCTGCCATCTTTCCTCTCGTCCATCGGCCATTGTTCTGTCATTCTATCATTTTTGCTTTGGTTTTCACTGCGCAGGACATAATGCTACATATTCAGACGCCGCTGCGAATTACAACATTACTGTGTATCGAGTAATGCTTTTCTTTCGTTAGCGTGTTTGTGTTCTTCACGAGGTTTCGCACTTCATGCCAGGCTCTTTCTGTTTCATTATTTCTTTTGCTTTTTTAAAAATCATGTGAGTGGGTGTGGCGCTTCTCATACTTTGATACTGTGAAATGTTGACCTGTTATGGTGACTCGCATGTCCCATCTTCTTTTGTTTACCTTTAGCGTGTTAGCAAATTCACTTTGTTTGCATTTGCGTCACGCTGCAGACAAATGACCTGCGACCTCATTGTTATTTTTTTTTTGTGGTTCTTTGTCTGTCCTGCTCAGACAATAATTTCCATACACTTGCAAATTACTCACTGCTGGTATGGAAACACAATCTCACTTCCTGTTAGCCGGAAATGTTTCTGCCTATGTGGGCATGAAAATGATGGATGTTGAGGAAAAAGGCTTAAACCTGCGTGTCGTCTGTTTCAGGTCAGTGGAGCATTGCTTTCACATGTGTGACAGAGTGGTCATCTATTTCTTCATTGCTGCCTCCTACACACCTTGGTGAGTGTCAGACAGACAGCATGATATACTCCCCTGACCTGAGTCATACACGGAGATCTAACTTGACCTAATTTGGATTTTCATCTTTATTCAGGTTGAACCTGCGTGAACTGGGCCCCCTCGCAGCACACATGCGCTGGTTTGTGTGGCTCATGGCTGCTGCTGGAACCATTTATGTCTTCAACTACCATGAAAAGTGAGTTTATGTCACAGTGAGCTCGCCAAGTATTTTTCACTCTTCATTCTTTTTTACACTTTATTGAGAAAGCCAAGAAAGAAAAATCACAATAGCTAGAAATGTCTTTCTGTGTTAGTCTGAAGTAACCACAGTGCTTCGAAACTCTTCCCTGGATACAAAACACGTCTCAAAACTCTACACTCATGCCCGAAAATCCGTTTTCCTCATGATTTCACTTTGTCACATCCTCCAAACGCCGCCCGTGTCAGATCTGATCATCTCCCCGCCTTGCTTGTGTTTCACATTTCCTTTGCATCGCACAGACCTCGTAAACACACACTTTCCCCTTTTTTTTTGTCTCCACAGGTATAAACTCGTTGAGCTGGCCTTCTATTTGACGATGGGATTTTTTCCCGCATCTGTGGTGACATCAATGGTAATATATATTTGTATTGATACAAGCACAATCACATTCAGCTTAAGTCTTAAACCCTCACATCACGTCTTCATCTCAGCCGATAAACCGAACATGCGGCAGCTGCAGGGTGGAGCTGTTAGCAGTGTGTCTTACTTCCTCTTTAGAGTGTTTGACAAGAGTTCACAGAAAACAAACGATGCATTTAAAGTTTTCTTTGTGATTTAATGATTCATATAAAACGATTCAGAGCTGAAAAATAATTTTTGAATCCTGCTGTGGCGCCTCGTCTTTGTTTTAATCTCTGCTTCTACTGGTCTCAGTGGAAATAGCAGCCACACATCTCAGTAATCCTTTTCTGTGCATGCTGCATGTTTTATTGTTAATATTTTGCAGGATTTTGTGGTGCTTTGGTGGTTTGTGTGCACTTTCTGATATTTCATTATGTCCATTGGCTCCTGTTATGTCCTGCACACTTTACTTGGGTTAGCTGCTCAGGTGTAGCGAATCATTCTTGCAAAGTTATTTTCGACTTTGTCTTCCGTCTGTGAAAACGGCGCCGTCCACGATGCGCTTACAAAAATCTCATTTTGAGGGTTCAGCTGCTACAAACCAGCTGCCCGATTCTTCCTACCGACCTGCTCACTGGCCAGGTTGTAACGATTCAACCAATCAGTGCACAGTCAGGAATGTGTTTTAAACAGTAATGTTTAATGAATATGTTACATGTATCCATTTTTGTGTGTTTTTGCAGAGCAACACAGACGGTCTTCAGGAGCTGGCCTGTGGAGGACTCATCTACTGCCTCGGTGTCTTCTTCTTCAAGAGCGATGGCGTCATCCCATTCGCCCACGCCATCTGGCACATGTTCGTGGCGCTGGCGGCGGCAGTGCACTACTACGCCATCTGGAAGTACCTCTACAACGCTCCCAGCTCAGACACCCTCCTCGACTCGTGACCGCGACCCCAGACAGGGCGCTTCCCGTCCCGTCACCCTCGTGCTCTCGCGCCGAGCGCGGGGCGACTCCCTCGACTGCCCGCTGAAGCTGCAACGACAGCCGTAAGGTTTACGAAAACAATGACCGTGAATTGTTTACTGTTTTCTAACAAGGAAAACAGATTTTTAAGCCAATGAAGAAAAGCTACTTTATAGCAGTTTTGTAAAAATAAAAACAAATCCTTTGACAGTCAGGAAGGGAATTTTGAACTTTTACACTTGCTGTTGACCTTGGCACATTCATAAATATTTGAAAGAGTATTTGAGAAATTTGATAGCCGTCTTTTGTATCACTTGAAGTCAGTCACATTCCACTTTGGGGGTTATTTGAGTGTCAAAACTTGGAGATTGATCAGTTTCAGTGTTTTGAACATGAGGGAGGATATCGAATGAGGTGCTAAATATCCACTCTGATCAGTAGCTCTTATATGATGTTATATCAGACGTTAGTGTTAATGTAGGAGCTGAATTTAACTTTTATTTAACAGAAGCCAAAGGTCTGTAATGTTGTCTAAACTGAAGCATTTCTTCAAATGGAAAACTGATTTAAACTTGATCAAACAAGAAGCAAAGTAGTGATCTAACCACACGTTCAATGCCAAACAAGCCGACATTGAAAACTCTTCTCAGTAGTTACACATGTACAGTGTGTAGAGCCGCTCGGTGCTTCAGTGTATTCTGCTGGCAACGTTTTGTGAACACATGGAGTTGTTTTTGTTTTTTTGCTTTCTGTAAAGTTACAGTGATGTTTTAAATCCATCTGATTCACATTTGCACTTTTTTGGTCTAATGCACAGCGCTTTGTTTCTGTGACCAGATGCAGTTTTCAGAGAACCACTGTTTCTTTTCTAAGTAGTTGGCGCCCCCTGCTGGTGGGCAGGCGTAATGAAAGCGACTCATGCTATTTCAGTTTGACTCGGGCAAGGTGGGATTTTTGGTAATGAGCCAAACCATGAGAGAAAAATCAGGTGAGGTGGATAAAGGAGACAGAATTATTTTTTTCCACTTTCTCTGTAATGTGAACAGTGTTTGTATGCACGACCTTTGTACTGTGGTCCAGTATTACATTTGTTTCCACTGACTGCTCAGGTTTGAGCAGCGTTCCCCGTCTGCAGTCTTTGGAAGGGTCTGATCAGTGGGGAAATCCTCGTGTTCCTGTCTTTGTCTCATGCTGCTGGTTTTGTAAATTAGCTTCACGGCTCCTGATTTGTACAGTTATACTCCTGTTGCTTTCCTCTTAGTGATGTCTGGAGCTGAATGATTTTTTTTT